ACCCACGCACCCACCCACACACACACACACACACACACACACACACACACACACACACACACACACACACACACAAAACAGACAAATGCAGTTAGATATCTGCTTTTATCCAATTAGGATGTCTTTGTTCTTAAACAAGTGCTTCCGCAAGCGTGATACTATGGTAGTGCAACAATGTTATAATGCCAGCATCAGACATGGACTATGAACGATCCCAGGCTCTTTTCCTACTAAGTCCAATTCCCTCCTGTTGATCGGCAGAGATCCGTAACCAATTGGTGGAGCAATTCCGTTGTTTGGAGCAGCAGTCGGAGTCCCGCCTGCAGTTGCTGCAGGACCTACAGGACTTCTTCCGCCGGAAGGCTGAGCTCCAGCTGGAGTTCTCCAGAGGCCTAGACAAACTTGCAGAGCGCTACTCATCCAAGATCCGCACTTCTAGAGAGCACCAGCATTTCAAGTGAGTTCCTGCATCGGTAACCACTACATAAGCTACATTGGCGACATGATGGATCTGTGGTTTGTGTTTGAGTTCTGATTTGGTCATTTCCACAAGGACTCTTGGGTTTTTCAATTTACTCCACAACGGAAAAACATGTTTGAAAGAGTAATTTCCAGACAGTTTTCCTGACCAAGGTTCTGACTCAAGATCTGGATCTGGTCCCTGGGTTCCCTGTTCCTCAGGGATCAGCAGTGTGCAAATTTCACTAAAGGGCTTGGTCTGGTATGGTTTAGCAAGATGAACTCGTTTATTAATTACACAAATGACAGAAATTTGGGCCAGTAAACAAAAGAACATTGAGGACACAAAGTTTATCATGGTTTTGGATTTTTTGTTGTTGTTTTTTGGGTTTTTTTTTAATGCTTTATTTCAGTTTAGTTTTCATTAGTTTTACTTTTTTATGTAGTATTGGTTGTCAGATTAAAAAAATAAAAAAAGAATGTCACTAAGTATTGTGTAATTAAGTGAACTATAGACGACTCTTTGACCTTTCTATGTCTGCACATTTCTATGTGCAGACAGAAAGCATTACTGAAATAAATACATTTTAAATGAACCCTGAAGGCTCATTATGACATTAATTAACTAAGACCAAAAAATGGACATTACTGCAATAATTATAGTTAGTTTTGGTTAATTTTATAAATGTATGATGTAGTTTGTTTGTTCTTCTTTTGGTAACAGCATTCTCATTATTTTATTTTCTTAATGAAAATGTCTTTTGTTTTGTTTTTCAATTTTAGTAATTTAGTAGGTTTTCCTTCACTACAATAAAAATTATGGAGGGCACAGTATTCTGTAGTTTTTTTTTTTCTGTATTGGTAGCCTTCACAACATGCCCAAATCCAACTCTGGTGAGTGCTGCTTGGTAGAAATAGGACTATACGGGCCGGGAACAAAGGAATGAACAATCAAAAAAAAGGACGTATAAATGTAGAAGAATTGACCTGAAATGCAGCCAGGGCCAAGGAACCCTCGCCTCAGGCTGCTGTGTTCCCCCCAACTAGGTCAGACTTTACCCACTCTGCCAACCCCCGCCAAGCTCGTCTTCTCTATGTGCTTGTCATTTCACTTCACGCTAGACGCCGAATCTCCAATCCTCAAATTTCCTCACCGGTCACAGAGAATTAACTGCGCTTAGAGTCGAAGGAATGAAATGTTGCTTCGAAATGAAAAATGTTTTTTGTTGTTGTCGTTTTTAAGTGTGGTCGTGAATCAAACACACCCTGCAGCTCTTTAGATTTTGGCAACCAAGTTCTAGTTTGTTCTGGAACATGTTCACATGTCAACATGAATTCAATTAATGCGCATTTTGAAAAAGAACCAAGTCAGTCAATGTTCAAGTTCATGTTACCTGTCTGGGTCTGTCATGCGTAACAAAGGTTGATTTTTTTCATTGACAATGGTGATCTGTCCAGTTCTATTTCATTCTCTTCGGCCAATTACTTAAATGTAGTCAAAGCACACAAAGCTGCCATGTCTGGGATGTTGATTAATGGAGCGTTCAGTCAAAGGGAGACCCCTTTAAGATATTCACATCGCTTCACTTCTCATGTCATTCGTTGTCCCCCCCCCACCCCCACCCCTCCACCCGCTCCTAAAACTCCACTCCCATCTCTTAAAATGATCATCATTACAAATGTCTGTCAAAGGCTTGGTTCTCTACTCCAAAATTATAAATCTCTTAGTTCCATTGTCATTTAAATCACACCTCCGGACAGAAGCATTCTGTTCAATCAATCACTGGCATTGAAACAGGAGTTCAGAACATCCAAGGATAGAGTCTTTGATTAAAAAAAATTGTTTTTCAAAAACAATTACTGAATTCAGCAGCCCACAACCACCAGGCAATGGACAGGGACCGAAAGACTGAACAAAAAATATTTTATTGATCTTTGAAGTTTTATTTTGAAAATCAGACCAAAAAAAAAAAGAAAAAAAGAACACATATAGTGAGCGTCTTCAAAAAGAAGAGGCCAAATAATGAGACAGAATAAAAGAGACACTGCATTAAAGAGACACTATTGGCAATCCTACTTAAAGGATTAGGGTTTTTTTTGGTTGTTTTGTTTTGTTTTGGTTTTTTTTTTTTGCTAGTTGAATGCACACACCAAACCTGCGCTGAGTGCCATAATATGTCGCAACAGGCTCACAAATGAGGCAATAAACTCATCAAAACTGTTCTGGCGCATGGAGCCCAGCACCTAGCAATAAACGATGGGGCCAGCTTCTTGAAGAGAAACAAGCTCCGGTCTTGGGGACTGCATCATAGATTAATTGTTACTTTTCCCCCACTGTCAATCAGTGTAAGTTCAACATGCAGCAATTACTTTCTGCACTTTACCGAAGAGGATTTCACGTCAAATAATGAACGCTGGCAATATTTTTGCTTTCCTTTCGCTGAGTGCTGTTTTCTTGACCTGCGAAAGCTTGGTCATGAATATTACTTTTTCTCGTCGTTTTTGAGGAGCAGCCAACAAGCAAAAGATTTTTCAGTTAATCTCACGGCATCGAGTGTCAAGGATCAAACTTGTGCTTGGCTTTGAAAGAAAAGCCTGCGGGGAGGGCGGCTTCACCTTTTTACTGCACTGGAATGAAAAGGGAATAACAAAAAGATGCTGATGCTCAGCACCGCGCACTGTGTCTTGTACCTGAATGTTTTTTTTGTTTTTTTTTTTTTTTATCGACTGTATACTTTTTTTATGTTACATTTGTTATAAATGCCCATCAACCAGGAAAAAGTATGCAATTAGTCATAAGTACAACATACCTCAATGCAAAGTAGTTCAAATTGAATCAACAGCGCCTCTGCTGGTTGGTTCCAAGTATTGCACTTCATTTATGATGAGGCAGCAATACATTTTGTCTTATTGTCCAAATTTTTAATGATCAGTTATTCAATGAATTGAGATCACGTCAAATTGAATAAAACTTATGTTAGTGTATTTGTAAGACAGAAATTGTAATGCATGTTGTTTTCTAATTGTGCCGCATTGTAATCTAATTTTTAAAAAATGCGACACTGATAAATCCAAAACTCAATAAAGTTATGTCCTGAAAACAACAAGAAAAGACGCTGAGCTTCTCTATATCAACTTAAGAAATGAAAAAGCCAAACAATGACTCGTCAGGGACAAGAACAATCGAAAATGTTTCATGACTTGACAGAGAAACATGGAGGATTCTTTTGAAAATGCTCTTCAAAAGTGAGACGAGCTCCAAAAATAAACACTCTGTCTCTGAATTGTCATTTGATTTCAGAGTTCATGGCCTGAATCCAGACATCAGTTAATAATAGTATACTTTTCAATCTTTGATCTGTATTGCTGTTGGTACACCATGTGTTTGGATCGAACTTTAAAGTAGATGACCGAGTGAGTATAATGTAATAAAATGGTGCTGACCAGCCATCCAATATATAGTGACAGTTGTCCTTTAAGAAAACTAGCAGGGACATAAAAAGCACATGAATCAACAATTAAATAGTGTTTGCAAAATGAATAATGTAAAGTTGATTGCGGCTGCCTTCTTCCAAATCAATAGCAATGATTCTTGTGCAGTAGGGAGAGAATTAGAAGAGATTTTTGTCAGAGATGTCATTTCCCCCTCCAACTTCAGAGTGTTCCATTCTTTCCAACATCATTTCCAGCCATCTACCGCATCAGTAATAGCAGTAGAAAAGATTGAATTTTGATCAGATTTTGGTGTTGGTCACTTATTGGCTGTTAGCAAAGTGCCATGATAGCCTTTAATGATAAGAGTCTTTGTTGACTTCATCGGTGTCTTAGTCAAAACAGTTTGATGATGGAAAAAGCAGTCTCATGTTCCCTAAAGAAAAAAAAAAGAAGATAAACAAACTTCGGTGTGAACGTAATTGAACTCACATGCTCCCTCGAGCAATGAGGCAAGAGCAGCCCGCATGCTGGTTGTGTGTGTGTGTGTGTGTGTGTGTGTGTGTGTGTGTGTGTGTGTGTGTGTGTGTGTGTGTGTGTGTGTGTGTGTGTCCATCCAGCTATCTTTGTGAGGACCGAGTCTAGTTTATAACATTTGAGAGGACGTTTTGAGGGGGGGACAAGAGATAATCTAAAATTTAGTGCAGTGTTTGGTCAACGTGTCGTTTTAGGGTTAAGACGATAACTGAGTCAAATACAGAATATGTAGAAGGGTTCAGGGAATGTATTATGTCCTCACGACTGATTCCTATGGGGTGTGGAGTCGTGATTGGCACATTTACCTCCCTGGCCTTATTGAAGACTCTAAATTACCCAGAGGTGTGACGATAAGTTTAAATGGTTGTTAGCTTACCTGTTGCCTGTGACGGGCTGGTGACTATTGTTCGGTGTTCTTGCTCATTCTCCCGGAAAACAATGTCAAGTCACATGAACACACACGTCTTTGTTTTGGTGTTTTAACGATCTTGTCTTGTGCCATCTGATGTAAGAATGACATTGCGGAACAAGTGATTTGATCTATGCGTGAAATATTAACAACGAAGTCAAGTAAATCATAACTAGGATCAAGCTTGGTTGCCCCCCCCCCCCCCACCACTAACTGCTCAATGGCGTCTTGCTGTGGTTGTTTCAGGAAGGACCAAAATCTGCTGTCCACTATCAACTGCTGGTACTTGGTTTTGGACCAGACCCGGCGGGAGAGCAGAGACCACGCGACATTAAGTGACATCTACAACAACAACGTCATTGTCCGCCTGACGCACGTGGGCGATGATGTCCTCAGACTTTTCAAAAAGGTCAGCGGTGGAATGAAATTGATGAAGGCGTGCAAGCCAGACTGATGGCTGTAACATGCATCGTCACACGTCATCTGTCATGTGTTATCCTTCTACTGCAGGGGTCGGCAACCCAAAATGTGGAAAGAGCCATATCGGACAAAAAAGACAAAAAACAAATATGTCTGGAACCACAAAAAAAATAAAAGCCTTATATAAGCCTTTTAATGAAGGAAACACATGCTGTATGTATCTTTATTAGCTATATTAGCCTACTATCAAAATCGCTAGAAATTTTGAAATGTAATATTTATTCTACACATTTTTATAGCATTTGAAAACGTGAAGAACGTTTGTGTCATGTTTGTCCTCCTACAGAAACCATATTAAAAGAAAAAATATATTTCCCTCCCCATCTTTTTCCATTTTCAAACATTTTGGAAAAAGCTCCAGGGAGCCACTCGGACGCCGCTAAAGATCCGCAGGCGGCTCTCGAGCCATGGGTTGCCGACCCCTGGTCTACTGTATGGAACTCAACTAAAATGGTGTAAATCCAAAGAATGACATAATTTAGTCAAGCATTATTAACTCAAAATAGCTGCCTGTGTGTGCTTGCCGTTGTTGCATTTTATTTTTGTTGTTTCAAAAAAAGAAAATGTATTGAAGACGTACATTCACTACATGGTTTTGAATCCATACTTCCTAGCCATTGCTGATTTCAACATGTCAGTTCCACCGTAAAAGTACTCTTTATTAATATGATTATTATTTATGCTGATACATTCTCATCTTGTGACAGAATCTCATTCATAATTTCAGTACAGATGGGTAATTGTCTAACATAGTCACTATTGGTTACTCTTTCATAACAGATGCGCATTGTGTAAAGATAGGAAAGTGGCTGTGGGCTCGGGGGTTGTGATGAATATTCTGTCCAAGCGATCTGAAATCACTATCGCTTGACAGCAGAGGGAATGGAGGATAATTTATGCCCTCTTGGGGGTTCTGCAGTGTCACGATGGGAGCCATGATTGGTTTGTCTTCAGCCAGCCAGCACAAAGAGAGGCGTTTTAGGAACAGCCTGCAGAAAGTCTGTCTCCCCCTGCTAAGAGTTTAAAGCAACTGGAGAAGTTATTCAAAACAAAAAAATCACGTTCTGGTGCATTCATCCGCAGCGCTGCTTCATTGCTAATGTATTGCACGTGTGGGACTGGAATGACTTGCGTGTTTATTGGGGCAAATGTGCCGACGTTTCAGTTTTTGGGGAAACACAGGCTTGTTGTGTTTGACAAGTGGCCCCTTGGGAGGTGGCAAAGACGTGAACTTCACAGAGTTCCTCACCTTTGAACCCTCTTCCTCAGGGCCTGTTAGCATTGGCAGGGCGACATGTCTGCTTCATCATATTCCCTGGGCTACATTCATGCTCGCATTGTCGCGGTTCTTTTACGCCGTTGGATGCTAAGCGTCAACTGCTTCGTAGAGTGGGTTGTTCCACTGTGCGAAACTGGACGGTCAAAGGTTCAAATTTAAATATATTGAATAGCCGGTGAACTATTTTATTATAAATACAATAAATCCTATGAATAGAAAATACACTACATAGAATATCATAAAAGTGACATCTCCTTATCATTTTATAAATTGCTTTGCTCATTTTATATCAACTTTTTCCTGCAATGGATCTCAACGGTTTGAAAAAATAAATAAATTCTGGCCCTCAATCACAGCTGTTTCTACCAATTTCTTTTAAACCTACATTGAAGGACCGCATCGATAAAATTTGAGATATTATTTATTTTACTGTATGTCATTTTTTTGAAGCATAATATTTTCATAACAAAAATATAGCACCCCCCTTGGCTCATAAATGGTTCCACCCAATTCCGTCTTGACAGGGCTCTATGCATGCTAGCTAGCTAGCTAGCTCCGTTGAGTCAAGAATCAGACGTTGCCTCAACTGGAATTTGTGGAACATTTCTCAACTTCCACTCCATAATACCAACACTCTATTATTGTTCCCATTTTAACATTCTGTTGCTTTTAATGATAGCTGACTGTTTATGCTGTTAGGAAGGAGATACCTGACGATTATTCCGACTCAGAAATGTTGGCGTCGGTTAGGAAGAGCACCACTGTCCTCTGTTTGAATTAGAATGAGAAAAGCTGGGTGTTGTGTCATGCGCACGTGTTAATATTATAGGTTAGTCACCGACTTCCCCAAAAAGTGGTACGCTTCTCTTTCATCGAATTTGTGTTAAACTACACAAAACAGTAACATTTTTCTTACCAGCATGGGAGCTCAGCCCCCCTAAACCTCTGATCCTAGAACCACCCCTGCTCTTGAGCACAATTTTTTCCACCTCTCTTCTAATGTTGACTAATATCTTTTACAGAGCAAAGACATCGGAGTGCAGATGCATGAGGAGCTTGTGAAAGTCACCACTGAGCTCTACACAGTGAGTCAACCAAATATTATTGTCCTTTTTTTAATGTCCATAACAGGTCGTCTGGCATTGCGTGCGTGCGTTGCTATATCCTGCCTCCTCTCAATTGTCAGACCATAACCCGTGAAACAGCTGGCCAGCCCTGACACTGCACACGGCAGACTTGCTTGATCAGCAGTTTATCCTCTAACTTCTCCTGAGGTCACGCACATTTGCATTCATCTATTGTGAATTTCTCCCCGGGGAAGAGAGTGGAGTGGTTGTGTTACTCACAACGGCGAAAAAGAGCAGCTGCTGAAGGTCGGACACATCTGTTTGTTAGGATAGGTTGTTCGTTTATGTGTGCGTTCGGAAGACTCAACTACCATTGACACGAAGAGCGCATGTATGCACGTCGCATGCACATGCGCGTTCATTTGCAGAGCAGGTCCGTGTGGCAAATGGAAAACAGCTGCGTCCAGCTCACATGATAATCGCAAAACTTGGGAGCTCGCTGCATACGTGACACGCTATTGATCGGCTGACTGCTTCCTGTGCTATTTGGTTTGCGACTTGGAGCGCCGCTTGCTGTCACTACCAAGCGCCCTTTCCTCCCTTGTTAATCGATCTGGCTGTCCTTTTGGTACATCGCTTACAGACGGCGTTGCCTAGGAAACCATAATTTGGCAGTGAGTGAGGCTGAGGGAGATTCAGTTTGTGGTTGTTTCGTGGTTATTAGTTTACCGTAGTTTATTTAGTTTAGTGTGGCGCTCTTCAAAGAAGGCATATTTAATTTTAGGATTTGTGTTCCCTGTCTGGGGTTTACGATGATAAGTCTTGCAAATATCCACATCAGGGTTGTTTTTGTGGCTTTGGCTGTTCAGCTCGTCTGACAAACCGGATATTGAGCGCCTCTATCATTTAGTCAAATCATCGATTCGCGCAACATCACATGTTGAACTTGGTTTTCTGTCAGTGTTTGTGGCCAGGTATCCAAATCACTGAATTAATCGACAACTATTTTTATTATCGAATAATTATTTAGAGCCATTGCTTACCTTAAAATTGTCCAAATCCTCTGATTTCAGCTTTTCAACCGTAATTATTTCTGCAGTCCTTCATGAAAGTAGACCAATTAATCTTTTGTGTTTAATTAAAATCAGGCATTTGCAAACGTCTGCTTTTTCTTTGGAAAACAATGACGGAAACCGTAAATGAATCCGTTTCAAAAAGGTTGGTGAGTGTGGCAATCGCTCTCATGGGATACTGGGTAAACAATACCAACTAAACAATAATTGTTTGATAAACAGAAATTGAAGGGGAAATGGTTTCGTAATACACTTTAATGCAAACTAAAATTGCGTCCGATGATTCGATTACTCAAAGGAATATCCGATAAAATAATGGATTCTAAAAATACTCAATAGTGACGGTCTTTGGTGGCAACATTCCTTTGAGACCTTGCAATGTTGTGCCTCGGTTGCGTTTGTCTTTTGGATCTAACAAAGGGTAAGGAAAGGGAAGCTTGCGTGGTCTAAAACACACTGTGCATGTAGGGATGATTTTTGGTTTGGTATTCAAAGATGAAGACAAACAGGCAAACAGAGAGACCCAAGCACATTAGAAAGACACACCCAGCTGAGAAGCGTCCCGTTCAGCAAGATGATTAAGTTACACTCCCTGGTGTGATGAAGGGTAGAGGAAGCAAATACATAACACTGACACGTGTAGCGTTCGACACTATTTTCAGCTAATGTACACCCCCTTCTGTATACTGTGGTCATTATTTTGTTCTTGATGTACAACCTCATATTTGCATCATTTATTTTCTCATTTGTTCATATTTTTCTTATGCAATATTTGGCTCCACAAGGCCGTTTGACGACTTCGTTTTTTTTTGTAATTATGGCTTTCATCCAGGGCTCGAACTTTTGGAGTCATCCATTCATTTTCCAGAATCACGCAAGAGCTGAATTTTATCTTTGAGTTCCATTGTTGTCTTTGTAATCTTTGGTTTACCATCATGACCATTACCCTTATAAAGAGGGCGCGCTAATTCATTTGCTGAACTGAGCTTTAAGAATTGTGTTGATCGTGTGGCATTCATTGTGGATTATTTGAAGCAATTAAAGCAAATGGAATGCACCGCGTAGAATGCGTCGTTTGTAGTCTCAGCTAGTTTGCTCTCAAAAGAAGACAAAACGATGTCAGCTCTGGTAAATTGAGTTACATCCACTCAGATTAGTCCGATAAATATAACACTGCCATGGAAATGAATATGAAAACATTTTCTAATGCTCTCATCCCTTAAACACTTTCAGGGACAGCGGTTCCTGCAGTGGACAACTTATCATGTTATCGGGTTACAGGGTGCATGAAAGGGTTCAAAATAAGACTCCAAAATACAATATCTTCAACTAATTTGATAAAATTAGGTTGCATTCTTTGTGTTGTGAGCTACAAATATGTTGCTTCTGAAGGTTCCTTGGATATTTTTTTAGGCGGTAGGTCGTCTCACACTGAGCATGTACGTGTGTGTCTGTGTGTGTCTCGCGACAGGTAATGAAGACGTACCACATGTACCACACGGAGAGCATCAGCGCCGAAGGCAAGCTGAAGGAGGCCGAGAAGCAGGAGGAGAAGCACATCGGCAAGGGCAACGACATCAGCGCCGCCTTGCTGCGATATGGTCACGATGAAAGGCCGCAGCGACGAAGCTCTGTGAAGAAGATGGAGAAAATGAAAGAGAAGGTGTGTCTTGTGACGGACTCGTTGTTACAAATGAGATACTGTGTATTCTGTTTTTTGACTTCATGGCTATCTGATGTTATACGAAAAAAATATTTACAGCCCCATGAGAGCTCAATAGATAGTGATGAATGCACGGTAAATGCTGTCAAAGAGGGAAATATACCGTATTTTCCACACTAAAAGGCGCACTGGATTATGAGGCGCACCTTCAATGAATGGCCTATTTTGTAATTTTTTTCATATATTGGACACACCACATTATAAGACACAATCTACAATGCATCCACTAGATGGAGCTACGCTCAAGGAAATACCAACAGAACACTACACTACACTCTTCTTCTTCTTCTCCTTTCGGCACGTCCCTTTTCAGGGGTCGCCACAGCGAGTCATTAATTCCCATCCGTCCCTGCAAACCGCCCTATCAACTCGCATGTCCGTCTTGGCAAAAGTTTTACGCCGGATGCCCTTCCTGACGCAACCCTCCCCATTTCCCCGGGCTTGGGACCGGCACCGGGGAACAGTGTACCCCCAGGGGAGGGCACTGCTCCCCAGCGGCTGGGTTAGAACACTACACTACACTACACCCTGATTTATATAGCGACAATCAGATGTCAGTAAAACTTATTTAATAAAGCAGCGACACAGTTCACTTAACCAACAACAAGTTACAACTTTGACTCGTTAACATTGAACTCTCTTGCCGCTGCTCTATTTCCGTGTTCAACTGCGAAACCGATCGCCTTAAGTTTGAACTCTGCGTTGTAAGCATGTGTCTAGCAAGGAGCCATTTTGGGGGTTGACATATTACCGTAATGACCATACACAAGGTGCAACGGATTTTAAGGCACGCTGTGAGCCTTTAAGAAAATGGAAGGCTTTTAGGTGCGCTTTTTAGTGTGGAAAATACGGTACATTTAAGTTCATTTCCTGATATAAATTCCGTAGTCATTCTTAAAAATGTCCTTAAAGGTCTTAAAATGCCACATTGTTGTCAAGTTGTGTCGCAATTCTGTAAGCTGCACTCATTTTCCTTATCATCATGCATCCATGTTTTTCTCTTTCTCATAGAGACAAGCCAAGTATTTTGAAAACAAACTCAAGTGTACTAAGGCCCGCAATGACTATCTTCTCAATCTGGCAGCCACTAATGCCTTGGTGGCAAAATACTATATCCACGATGTGTCCGATATGATCGATGTAAGTACAACCACTCAGTGGATAAACACACACTCGGTTGAATACATTAATAAGGATTATGTTTCACTTCCCATACATAGTGTTGTGATATGGGGTACCATGCTAGCTTGACGCGGACCCTGAGAACCTACCTGTCGGCCGAATATAGCCTGGAGACATCTCGACATGAGGGTTTGGATGTTCTAGAAGGAGCAGTGGACGCCATGGACCTCCGAGGAGACAAGCACAAGTTCATGGACATGCACTCTCAGATGTTCTGTCCTCCGGCACGCTTTGACTATCAGCCGCACATGGGCGACGAGGTGAGTGGGAGATGTCGAGCTTATTTCAAGGTCTTTTTTTTTTTAAGTTTGTTGCGTGATCCTTATCAAGTCCTCACATCAGAGTTTGTGTCCTGCTTTCCTGCCAGGTGTGCCAGGTGAGCGCGCAGCAGCCTGTCCAGACGGAACTCTTGATGCGATACCAGCAGCTTCAGACTCGCCTGGCAACGCTCAAAATAGAAAACGAAGAGGTGACATGTTTTTTTTTTCACAAATGTTTGACTGGCTTGACATAAACTTTAATGATAGGTGCCACTGTTACTTCAGTGTACATACCATCAAAAAGCACAAAGTCAAATAACCCGCCATGCAGGTTTTGACAATTTCCTGTAACACAGATTTACTGAAAGAATCAGCGCTGTGGTAGGATATTAAATGTCTTGTCATAAACCATCAGACATAAGCCAGCCAAATGTAGTAGAACAGGAGAATGATTTAAAGATTGATATCAGCTGCTCTGTAAGCAGTTTTCTGAGATGTTATTTGAACTACCACATTAAATATGAAGCTACAGCTGATGTCTAAAATGTGAAGCGAAGCAACACTATGAAGGGCTTTAAACCTGAAACAAGGACCCTGTATGCTCACTAATTCTGTATACTGATATAAATGCATGATATAGTTCTCAAAAAGATGTAACTCAGGTCACATTGTTTATCCACTACTAGCTAGTATGCTGACAGAAGGACTAAAACAACCGCAAGGGTTAATGTTGGCGTCTACAACAGTGTTAATCTTTAATATGGAACTGACCGTCTGCGCTTGAAATTGAAGCGGAGTTACGTGGGGCAGGAAAATTGAACCCATTTCTGTTTGTCAGTGTTGCTCCAGTTTCTCGTTTACTTTTAATTTCAAACTTTGCTTGTAGCAGACGTGTGACGTCACGCATGCTGTTCTCACGATGTCTCTGAACCACTGGTGAAAGGAGACTTTGATTCTCTCCTCTTTCGTTTATAACCATTTCAAACAGCAAGGCGCACGTAGGAATACTTGTTACAACTGTGCCATTGTTGATGTTTTATGTTATGTGTTCTGTTGTATTATTATTTGATGTTAAATGTCCTGTAAGGCGCTTTTATACTTCAGCAGCTGTTTGTTAGCGCAGCAGCTGCTACATAGCTATATAAACCTAGTTTTGCTAGGTTATTGGAACCGTTCAGTGGTACAAAAGTAAATAATTGTTACCTTGAAAAAACATTTCAATATGTCTGTATGATCGCATGGTAGTATGCTTCCTTTTTTTTTTTTTTTTTTGATATTATCAGATGGTTTAGTTCTCGTAACAGTTTGATCCAAATGCACATTGCTCACATGTAGTTAATATTTTTCATCAAAATGCTTTTCTTTTTACTTGATAGATTGATTCGAGAGATGATAGAGGTTTTATGAAATATTTATCTAATACTAAATACGTGTGTGCCTGTTAATGTCAGGTGAGGAAAACTCTGGACGCCACAATGCAGACCCTTCAGGACATGCTCACAGTGGAGGACTTCGATGTTTCCGAGGCCTTCCAGCACAGTCAGTCCACAGAGTCAGTAAAGTCAGCCTCATCTGACTCCTACATGAGCAAAGTCAACATTTCGAAGAGACGAGCCAATCAGCAAGAGACAGAGGGCTTCTACTTCACCGTGAGTTCTGATAAGCTTTAACAATGACAAAATATTGGTGTATAATCTGTAAAATACACTGTTCGTATATATTTTTAAAGCTCAATTATTCCCTTTCTCCCCCTGCAGAAATACAAAGAGTACTTAAATGGCAGCAACCTTATTGTCAAACTTCAAGCCAAACATGACCTTCTGAAGCAGACACTGGGAGAAGGTGAGTCTTATGACATGCATACAAAAATGGTGCACAGTCAAAAATCACTGCATCGTACCATTGAGAGTTTAGAGAGCTTTTCCAAAAGGTTTTTGTGTGAATTGATATTGTATTACTTAAGTGTAAATAACGATTCACTTGTTCAGCCTCTTTTAAAGAAAGACAAAATTGTGGTTGCAAAGTCACTGAGAAACATCAGCGCGCCTTCTTGGCGTATTCATAAGACGCTGCACCATTGGTAACCTTGAAATGTCATATATTAGGGCCACCGCAAATACTTTATAGAGACAAATTAGATTGTTGAAGCATGAGCGTTCACTTTTTACATTGGTTTGAACTTGCATCCAAATCATGACCGAACAACATCAAGTCATTCAAGTCGTCTGCTGTATGGTTACAAGTATGCGACATAAAGTGGGGTTGTGCAGGAAGCTCCTTTACACGTGACAAAATGCTTAAACAATCCTTTCTAATTTACTAATCAAAATGTGCAGGTCAAAATAGGACACTTACGAAACCGTCATCTATCAAGCAGCACGCCAAAAGCTGCTCGTGGATATGCTTGCACTCTGCAGACAGAGCAGTCAGGCTATCCGGGGCACTTCGGGGGGCTCGTGTTCCGTTACCAGGGCGACTGCTGAATGGCTGACAGCTTGGCGGTGTGACAAATGCGGCCATGGTACTCACCCCATTGAGTGCGTCTGAATAGATGCCTGTTTTCTCATAACACCCCTTTCCGTCTCCAATCTGGCAGCCTCACTTTTTTTGGGGTTGGCACTCAACTGTACCATTTGAAAAGCGGCGTATACTAATTTCGTGTCTTTTGTGCTCTTTTGTCTTTTAGGGGAGAGGGCTGAATATGGAACGACAAGGTAAGATGTCCAGTGACAAAAGAGCAAATAAAGTAGGCATTGATGTTTAAAATCTTTCCCTTGGTGTCGCTGGATAGAGCAAAAATGAGATGCCGGTGTGGGAATGGGAATGTCAATGGTAACATTATGCAAGACTTGGAAATAAGTCTTCTTCTGAAGCTTTCGGCAAGACGGTATACAATTTTATCAAAACAAGATCAGATTATTGCGATTACAGACATGATGTTATTACAATCAAAGTGTGCCTGGGCTTTTCTGTTACTTTCATGGAGTCGTTAAAACTTCACCGAGTCATATTTGTGGTAATTCTCTGAGGTCCAGTGTATTTTATTGCACTAATTTTCTGTTGACAGGTAAAAATGTTTGACATTTAAGACGATTAGTACCGCTTTAAAACTCGATGTCACACAAATTTGAAACACTAAAACCACAAATTAGCTAACAGACAAGATAGCCTTTTTTTTTTTTTTTTTTTTTTTTTTGTCTTTGAAAATAAACTGACAGCTATGATACATACAGCATCTACATCCCCAGTCATGTGCCAAATGCAAAGCCGTGGTGATAGAGGTTTCATGTGTTGCATTCCAGAAAACTATATTGGAAATTCTCCGCCTCCGATTTGGAACAGTGCACTGGAATACCTCCAATTTGCCAAATGTTTTTCCTTGTCGCAAGGCCGTCGCATATGCAAGCAATCTGAGACCTATGAAAAGATTAGCCATCAATCCATCCATCCGTTATCTGAGCCGTTTATCCTCACAAGGGTCGCGGGCATGCTGGAGCCCCTTCCAGCTGTCTTCGGTCACAAGACGGGGAACATGCAGAACTGGTTGCCAGCCAATCGCAGGGCATACATAGACGAACAACCATTCACACTCACAGTCACACCAAGTGACAATTTTAGAATGCTCCATTAACCGACCATGCATGTTTTTGGAATGTGTGAAGAAACCGGAGTACCCAGAGAAAACACACGCAGGGGATCGTACCAACTCCACACAGGAAGGCTGGATTCTGTAGGTGCCCTGTGACTAACTGGTAACCAATCGAGGCTATGGACTGCCTTTTGCCAAAAGTCAGCTGTGATAGGCTCCTGGTCCCCGCAATCCGAATACAATATGCGGTAGACTATAGAAAATGGATACATGGATGGATGGGTCAAACCTCACTGTAGACATCCAAATACATTTCACAAAAAGAATAATGATGAAAGAACGGCGTCTTAAGTTACTCACAAATTGCTAAACTGGAATTCAGTTGGAAATCTGGGCCTGTTTATTGATTTATGTGATTTAATGTCGTGTGAATTGCAACAGGTCAAACAGGTTAATTGTGCCTTTTGCCATTTTAGTGAGAGAGCATTTAACCATTGTGCCTGTCAGTACACGTCGCTAGCATGGATAGATGAGCAAGGAAACAATATTTGGAGCAAAGAGGTAATCATTTACGGACCAACCAATTACGTGAAATTGGGTAATTTCCCGCGGCACGCAAGATGATCTGTCACTGCACGCTAATTGAAAAAATAAATGCAATTATTTGCTTCCATCTGGAACATTACGTCAAATCGTGGGATATCCACTTTCCTTGATTGCAGCATTTCTGAGCTTGCCGACAGGAGTCAAATCAAGACTGGAGAGTTGAGAACTTGTAAACAGTGTGGGGCGGATGCGATGTTTGTGAACTACTACAGAATAGCAATTGCATTATTATTCATAATTGTCATACCAACGGTGCAACCCCCCCCCCATCCCCACCCTCTCCCCAGGCCCCCCATACTCCCCCCTAAACCTCAGAGAATACGGAAGTCTAGACCTCGCTCCATTTTTAGGCGTAAGCTGTTTAACGGCAATATGGAGGCCTTCATCCAGGTACGAGCCCATCGTGTGCTCTTTGTCTCTTGGTGAGCTCTGCTATTTCGCCGGTGGTCCCTTTTGGGGTTGTGGTCGTTTTCCTCCACTCACCTTTTGGCCACTCTTTTACTCATACGTTCGGCTCGCTCACGCTCTGACTCTTCTCTTGCTCGTCCCCTTGTCCCCCGCCGCCTCCTCGTCAAATCAGGCACCAGCAAATCGACCAAAGGCGGAGCTGCAGTTTGCTTTTAATGCTCTCGGCCCAGTAGGCCTGGCGAAATTGAGTCCACTGGCTGGATAAACATGCCAGTTGGCCGTGCACCAGCCGTGTTAGACTATTGAAATAAACACATGGCGAGCAGAGTCAGCATCTGTTCTGCTGTTTTGGTACTTCCTCAGTCCAACTCTTTTTAAAAGGTAATTTGCGGTATGGTGCTAACGAAAGCATCTGCAGGCTTTGAATTGAGACGAGTATTCTCCTATGTAGCTCCCCAGTTCCGCAAAGCAATGTGCTCATGTGCGCATCCCTATAAGGCACTGAATCGATGCTTTGGCATTTCCAGACCTCTTCTTTTTTTTTTTTTTTCTCTCTGTGAGATCTGTCTTCCTCACTAACTTGTTTGTGGTTGTTGTCGCCTCTCTTCCACTGTCTACGTGCCTTACTGCTCTCTGCCCAGGGGAAGACGGAATGTCCGATCCAGGACTCAGGTACTCTGTCCTTCAGCTGGGTGGCATCACCATTTTGCTACTTTCTCGGCCTCTGTTCTGTTGATACTCCTTTATGTGGACATACTTAAATCATAATATTCATTGCATTTCATAGTTTTGTTCTGCAGCTGTAACATTTCATATGATTTGATTAAGAACATTGAATACTTGATTTATTCTATGTACTTATTGTTCATCTGACGATAATAATTTGAATGTGACCGCAGGACTCGGGTCAGCCCATACCAGTGGTGGTTGAGAGTTGTGTCCGATACGTCAATCTTTATGGTGGGTTCCCATGTTGTGTTTTCGAGAAAAAGTTTGATTTAAAAAGAAATGTTTGGAATAGGGAAAAATGATCACGTCCAAATCTGCAAGGTTAGTGTAGTTAATGACAACTAATAATAAATAATAATAAATAAACAACAAACTAAAATCCAGAAACATTTTTGTGAACAAAATAAAATTAAAATAAAAATGTTTGTTTAAAAAAAAAAAAAAAAGAAAGAAAGAAAAAAAAGAAACTACAGCTTATGTTTTTAAAACTAACTTTAACTGCATAACTGCAGCTAGAATGTTTTTTGTCATTTCATGTCATACATAAGCTTTCGGGGTTCATTTTAAATGTATTTATGTTGGTATTTTGGTATTGCTCAGTGTCCATACAGTATAAAGGAAGGTCAAAAACAGTCATTTGAGAATTTTAGTTTACTTACTTTATTACACAATACTTCGGGACCTTTCACTTTTTATCTTGCACTGGACAAACACTCCATTAAAAAAAAAAACTAATATAAATGAAACTAAATCAAATATTTGCTAAAAACTAATAAAAAATTAAATGAATTTAAAACCAAAAGTCAAAAACAATTTCAAAACTAACTATAATGAAAAATTCCAAACTATTATATCCCAAAAAATCTCTTGAAAAAAAAAATTAGAAGTCAGATAATGCGTTGTTTCTCTGCAGGTCTTCAGCAGCAAGGTATATTTCGAGTTCCGGGATCCCAAGTGGAAGTCAACGACATTAAAAATGCATTTGAAAGAGGTCAGTGTCAGTCTTTTTGTCCATCTCGACTGAGTCTACAGATTGCATTTTGTCCGCAGCAAAAAAAAAACAAACAAAAAAAACAACAAAAAACGAAGGTCTCTCAAGTGCAAAGCAAGAAAGAGCATCACTTGGAACACTACAATGCATATTTCAACCTTTGTAGATGCATTTTGCATGAGATCCTGGCGTGATAGTAAATGCGCAGGCATATTCCACGCACAATCTCAAATTTTATTTGTGACGTTGACTAAGAGGAAGGTTTGATTGCGTCTGTAGGAGAAGATCCACTGGTGGACGATCAGTCAGATCATGACATCAACTCTGTGGCCGGCGTTCTTAAACTCTACTTCAGGGGCCTGGAGAAGCCGCTGTTCCCTAAAGAGCATTTCCTTGACCTCATATCCACTACGAGTGAGTCATCTTCTGGGCAACTTGTCAAGCATGAAGCTGTTTTGGGAGGCCACTCATTGTTTGTTTCTTTGAACATTCTAAAAGTGGCTGATTTTCTCTGTAAAGCATTACTGGGAGGAAAGGGGGTGGGGGAGAGTCCAATTACATAAGTGAGGCAATTTTTTTTTCCAAGAAAAAGACGAAAACAACAACTTTAACATGTCAATGTGAAAATTTTCACACCAACAAAAAAAATGAGATAAGTGGCTATTTTTCCATTTTTGTTTTCCATTGTTTGTTTTATATACACACACACACACACACACACACACACACACAAATGGATCAATTCACGTTGAAGATTTAAGTCAGGTGACAAAGCCTTTGGTGGCGCTGACTTCTCTCGCTGATGTTGTTTTTCAGAGCTGGACTTTGGTTCCGATCGAGCTCATCACCTCCAGCAGATTATTGCCACTCTCCAGCCGCCTGTGGTCATCGTCATGAGATACCTGTTCGCCTTTCTAAATCAGTGAGTCGCCTTGCAGCAAGTGTGCGCCTCCGCTGAGTGACAGCTCGGCGGTGGCGCTAATTGCCTCTGTCCCTTCAGTCTATCCCAGTACAGTGACGAAAACATGATGGACCCTTACAATCTGGCCATTTGCTTCGGCCCCACGCTGATGCCCATACCGGAGGACCAGGATCCCGTTGCCTGCCAGGCGCATGTTAACGAGGTCATTAAGACGATCATTATTCACCATGAAGCCATATTCCCACCCCAACGTGAGTTGGAGGGACCTGTGTATGAGAAGTGCATGGCCGGAGGCGAGGAATACTGGTGAGTTTGAAGGGAAGGTGTCCAGCATGTGGCAATAAATAATGCAATGCTCAAATCGACACGAAAAGGTATCAAGACTTACAAAAATGCAGTTAAAAGTTAAAAGAAAGGTTGAAATGCTCAAAGATATTCAAAACAAAGAGAAGAACGACTGTATTTTCCGCACTGTCGGCATCTTCAGAGTAGTGAATGCCCTATTTTAAAACTGTTTTCATATATAGGGCGGACCACATTATAAGGCGCATAGAATAAAAGCTGCACTAGTGACTGCGATTGCGATAGGCATCCACTAGATGGAGCTACGCTAAAAGGAATACAATACAATAGCTTTATTTACAAAGAGCCTTCACATCCGCTGCAGCTGTAACAAAGCGCTTTACAGAACATCGAAAATACCACGTCCAAGAAATCAGAATATCGATCCATATATAAGGCGCACTGTTGGCTTTTGAGAAAATGGAATGCTTTTATGTACGCCTTATAGTGCGGAAAATACTGTAAGTCAAAAGTGGGTGTGCCACAGAATATCTTGTGTTCTTATGGCTATCAAACTGGCTCGATATGATATCATATTGTGATGAAACTTATTGTTTTCGATCTGTTTTTCCATGTACAATAATTGCTCTTAATCACTTGTGTACTGTAACCTGATATCATGGATAAGCTGTCCACTGCAGTAACCGCTGTCCCTGAAAGGGTTAAATGACAGAAATTCAAAACCTTGTAGCGATTGGACATTATTTTTCATCCCAGTTGTTGAATAAAATGCTTGTTGTTTTCTTTCTCTTTGTATTATGTGATTCCATTTTTTATTTTATTTTTTTATTTTGTATTTTTTACACACAGTGAGAGCCCACACAGTGACGCCGGCGCTCTTGATGAGGTGGACAACGGTACTGGACCTAACACCAGTGATGACGGTGAGTCATACCTGAGAAGTACACACACACACAAACACA